TAACCATAACAGTAACCCTTTTAGCTAACCCTAACCCTAACTTAAAGCCTTTTAGCTAACCCTTCTCCTAACCCTAACTCTAACCTTAACTGTTTAACCTAACTCCTAAATGTAACCCTAATCTTAACCCTAACCCCTAGCCTAGCTAACGTTAGCAACCTAGCCACCTAGCTAGAATTGGTAACATGTCATAAATTTTTCGCAAATTTGTAAAACAATATTGTACATTCGCAAATTTGTAATATATTGTATGTTTTGCAAATTCGTATAATGTAATACGAATTCTTATTCGTAACATACATGAAATGGGTGATGGACATCCACAAATTAATACATACCATACGAAACATGTCATACTAAATTCAGTCTCTCGGATTTACATACAGAATAATACGAAATGCTTTGAGACCAGGTTGCTATACCAGGGCTCTCCAACCCTGTTCTTGGAGAGCTACCCTCCTGTAGGTTTTCACTCTGACCACAGTTGTAGTTAACCTAATAGTTAGATTAGGGTTGGAGCAAAAACCTACAGGACGGTAGCTCTCCAGGAACAGGGTTGGATAGCCCTGCCTTAGATCTGAAATGACATTAGGTAAGCACTTCGGCAAACAGACCACCCAGCCTATCATAAGGCAAGGTGAAGTAATTTATATATTGCTTAAACATATCCAATATTTTCAGATCTACATGGGAGTAGGGGCTAGGGGTTGATTTAATATTCAGACGTAGGTTGGTACAAAAGGTAGGCTGGTAACCTCACACGCTTGTAAAGAACAGCAAGGCCCGCACACTGTTTATGCTCCCAATTCACCGCTTTATTGACAACGTTTCGATCCGAACCGGATCTTCATCAGGTCAAACAGACTGAGTGCTCATATCCCAAAATATACACATTTCACCTCACATGATCATTACGCACATGACGCATGGTGGGTGCGGAAACAATTAAATTCACTTTTGCGCATAGTCAATCATAATTAATCACAGATGTACATATGGTCAAAAAAGTTATACAAAAATCCCAATCAATTTGTATTGGTCGCATACACTTATTTAACAGATGTTATTGTGGGTGTAGCGAATAAGTTCCTAGCTCCAACAGTGCATTAATATATAACAATACACACCAATCTAAAGTAAAATAATGTAATTAAGAACTATAGAAATATTAGAGTCCGGAGTGTGTGTGGGTATATATGATGGGGTGTATACACATTATGGACAGTATGTGGATAGAATATGTAGTATATCTGAAGAATACGTAGGATAGAATAATATATGTACAGCAATAGTTGAATAGGATGGCCTTGACTTGAATACAGTATATAAATATGAAATGGGTAAAACAGTATGTAAACATTATTAAAGTGACCAGTGTTCCGTTATTAAAGTGGACAGTGTTCCATGTCTATGTACATAGGGCAGCAGCCTCTAAGGTGCAGGGTTGAGTAACCGGGTGGTAGCCGGCTAGTGACAGTGACTAAGTTCAGGGCAGGGTACTGGGTGGAGGCCAGCTAGTGATGGCTGTTTAACAGTCTGATGGCCTTGAGATCATGGAAGCTGTTTTTCAGTCTCTCGGTCCCAGCTTTGATGTACCTGTACTGACCTCGCCTTCTGGATGATAGCGGGGTGAACAGGCCATGGCACAGGTGCCTGAGGTCCTTGATGATCTTCTTGGCCTTCCTGTGACACCGGGTGCTGTAGATGTCCTGGAGGGAAGGCAGTGTGCCCCTGCTGATGCGTTGGGCAGACCGCACCTCCCTCTGGAGAGCTTTGCGGTTTAGGATGGTGCAGTTTCCGTACCTGGCAGTGATACAGCCTGACAGGATGCTCTCAATGGTGCATCTGTAAAAGTTTGTGAGGGTATTAAGGGCCAATCAAATTCAATCAAATGTATTTATAAAGCCCTTTTTACAGCAGATGTTACAAAGTGCTTATTCAGAAATCCAGCCTAAAACCCCAAACAGCAAGCAATGCAGATGTAGATGCATCGTGGCTATGAAAAACTCACTAGAAAGGCAGTAACCTAGGAAGAAACCTAGAGAGGAACCAGGCTCTGAGGGATGGCCAGTCCTCTTCTGGCTGTGCCGGTGTAGATTATAAGAGTACATGGCCATTTAAGGCCAGATTGTTAAAACTTTAATAGATGACCAGCAGGGTCAAATAATAATGAGTAGTTGTAGAGGGTGCAACAGGTCAGCACCTCAGGAGTAAATGTCAGTTGGCTTTTCATAGCCAGGCATTCAGAGGTGGAGACAGCAGGTGCAATAGAGAGGGAGAGAGGGAGGGAGAGAGATAAAAATGTGACATCAATGAGATGGGTACATGTAGTAGTTACAGAAAATATAATAAATACATACTGTATGCACAAAATGAATAGACGGCCTCAATAAGGCTGGGCAGGTCCTTCACGCCATTGTATTCCTCAATTTTCAGAAAGTCTACAGAACTTTCAAACCAGTCAACACGTGGACATAAACAAACACACAGGACAACATACAATCAAATAGACACACAGAACCCAATAGATCACAAAATGTATGAATGTTAAATACATTTTTGGAGATTAAAAAATATACATTTTGCTTGGTTAGATACTTGTAAATGAGACCTTTCGTGGCCAGGCAGGTTAAGCAGTCTTCATCCCTCTGGTATGCATCTTCAATGGCTCTCGCTCTCAAAAGCAGAGTGACGCTTTTGAACACACTTATATCAAGTTCCTGCAATTCACAAAGAGGAGATAGGGGGAGAGAAAATCCTATGTTAAAACAATTCTAACAGAACTGTTCAACAGATTTCTCGTGGAACCAAGATGCTTTAGTAAGGTTGTTGAAAATAGGCTAGCCTACTTCAAGCAAGAATGTAAAGGGTTAAATGTAATTTAATTAATATGTGGATGTGAGAAAATAAACCTGTTAACCAACGACTTGGAGGCTTTCTTCCTCAGAAGTGATGATGTGATGGCTCCAACATGATTGCTGACGAAAGCCTCAGCCAAAAATGATTTCGAACTGATAGAAAATGTTAAATACGCATGGTTTTGATCAATATAAATGTAATAGATAAGCCTATACTGTAGGCTAGTTATCAATTTACGCTGCTAGTCTCGTCAATGGGGTCCTTTTCACGAAAGTGTTTTTCGTGTTTTATAAAATTAAACCCATAGGCTAATAATCTAAATACAAAATGATAATGTACCATGTTTTACGATAATATCATGATAATATTATTTATTGAATAATAATACATAATTATTGAAGAAACAATTGCATTTCATTGTTTAAAAAAATAAACAAACTTAAGATCATAATTTGCAGTGTGTAAGTGTAGCTTAAGGGGTGAATCGAATTAGTGAACCGCTTGAAAAGACGCTCCTGAAAGACAATAATCTGTCAAAATAAAGAAATTCTGTAGAAATCATTCTCATTCATTTTTTGTTATGGTTTAATTAAAGACAGCGATTTGAATTCATTAATGTGTTTGAAATATTTTTGGGGAAAAAATCAAGAGTTTTTTCTGTGTGTAGGCATACGATCATTTGCAAATAGCAAACACAAACCTCTAAAGATGTTGATAACATTAGAATGTTGATCAATTCAAATTTAACTTTCACAGTTAGTGGTAGCCTGATGTCCGAAATGATGTATTTAATTTAAACTGCCTTATTTGCGGTTATGCAATGTAATACGCTAATGACGCCCTCAATAACAAATGGCACGCTTGGTTGTTTGATCTATAAACAGTGACAGATACACTCTATTAATTTCTATTGTGTAGTGTGCTTTTCCATTTGTAGGTAAATATAACAACAACTGTTAAGAGATAGCCTAATGATTACACAACTTAGGCCTTCTGTGAAAAGGGATTGTACGCAATGAATGATGGAAAGCAAATATATTTTGATTTCACTTGAAGGAAAATAATAATTGAAAAAAGTGGATAAAACCGTATCGAGTTTTGATCAGCCTAGTAACAGTGCCAATTTGGCTAACGGAAACATGCAAATCCCTGACATGCGTCAAATGTAAAATACTTTCGGGAAAAAATCCAAACTATTGCCATGCCTGATCAGATTCCCGAATAAAAGAAAAGTGAATAACATTCCACAATAAAACAAAAAGGTAAATTCGTAAAGACATGGGTGTATCCTACAAAAATCTATAGGCTGAAACATGAAATTCGTTAACAATGCCCATGACTGATGATTTGTTTGTTGTTAATGTGCAGCCCTGGTTGTTTTGATGTTTACATGTCAGTGTGGCTTAAGGTTTACATACAACAACTCCTAATGATCTCAGATAGATCACTTGACACCTGACACTGTAGGCTACTTGTGTAGCCGTTGACTGTGGTTATTTCACATTCAGACTACTCACATACATTTATGCTGATTTATGAGCTAATCGTTAATCCTAACCAACAGGTTTGAAATTTACAACACAGATACTTTTCCTGCCAGAACTGCAAGCATCATCGCCCAAAAAATCACGGAAACAAATAGCCTATAGACCTATTTCCATCGTTTTAAAGTTACACAATTCAAAGTTTATTTGCCACGTGCACAGGATACAACAGGTTGAAAACAGTACAGTGAAATTCTTACCTTTGGAGCTCTTTCCCAACAATGCGGTGATAATAATAATAATAATAATAATACAAATATAGATAATAATATAAAATCTAATAAAATAATTAACGTAAGAGTAAAAACCACACAAGAACTACGATGAGGGATAAAGAAACGTTTGTCAGCGGCCTTGGGTAATTTCATGACGTTTGAATGTATTCAAGATCAACATAGATATAGGCAACAGCATAGGTAATTGTTTTTGGTGTTTCATACATACACAGTGCTAGGAAGGAATGCTCCGGGAAACCGCCAAGCAGTAGGATAAGTGGAGGGCAGCGCCACGGTTCAGGTGAATTGAAAGTGCACAGTGCTCAGCCTCAACAGAGCTGAGGCTAGACAGATTTTATAGCCCTGCCTCCTCCTCCTTTACATAGACGAGACAGCCCTTACCTGTAGACTTAGTCATTCACCTTGCTACTCCCCTGGCTTCGCTCAACACTCCTCGGGACGCAAGGGAACCTTGGATTAACACCGATAAAAGACAGGGGATACAAGGTGCGCGTCTAGGGGACGGTATCTGTAGGCCTATTGATGGTTCCTGCTATGAGTCAAGTTAAAAAAACCGTAAAATTGTGAGAATCTTACAAGATGTCAAAGTCCTCGGAACAGTTTGATGACCCGGACTGTGTTTGTTCCTTCGGTATGAAGTTAACGTGGGATATCAACGACCCAAAACTGCCTCAGGTATGTAAAAATCTCTCATTATGACAGTTTACGATACACTTTAGAATATAAGCTATTCAATAATATATATTTACATTTCCACATTATATAGCACTTGATAATCAAAATATGTCAAGGTAAAATCGAATAAATCATTGTTTCAATTTGTAGCCTAAAGATATACAGAGTTCAGGATAAATTAGTTTGCACGCAGATTGTCATGATTTGCCTAATATGCTTTCACAACTCAGCTATAAGATATTCATTTGCACTTTATGGCCATACCTTCGGATCTCTCCACAATCAAAACGTATTTTAGCCAGGTATATTCTAATCATTGGCCTGTAATTTTCGTGTATAACCTTATTATCCATTTAGAAAGCACTTGAAAATAAGGAATCTATCCAAATCTATATTTCCCCCTAATTCTGACAGGACACAAAGCAGTATGATGCATTTCAGGAGTGGACGGATGGGTATGTTCGTTACATCTACAGTGGGGAGGACAAGAACGCACAGCGCCACCTGAGCGGATGGGCAATGCGGAACACCAACAACCACAACTGTCAAATTCTCAAGAAGTCCTGCCTGGGCGTTGTAGTCTGCGGCCGAAACTGCACGCTGGCTGACGGAAGCAAACTCCAGCTCAGACCAGCGATCTGCGACAAAGCACGACAAAAACAACAAAGTGAGTAAAGGCATTATGCACAGCTGTATTGCATGGTGTACACCTGCCGACGCGTCTCATCGGAAAAAGAATGAAAACATTATGCCACTGTAACATTAACAATGCAGCTATTGGTGCTGTATCAAATTATTCATAATGATAGCCTACTTATTGGGCCTGTCGACTATGTCGACTATTTTTGAGAATATAACCCCACTCTGGAAATATATATTAAACGTTACATCAGGTGTAAACACTTGGTAGGCTACATCTGACTCATTCATTCAGTCATCACATTGACACACTATATAAAATGTGACACTTTGTGCTTCATCATAATATCCTCACTTATGCTGTAGTAGTAGAAACAAAGTTTGCTGAAGTCGAGATACTTAAAGCGTGAGAATAGCCTACAGGAGCGGTCAAAATGTATGGAAAACATTCTTGGTTGTATTTTGAAAAACCAATTAGGTTCTTGGTGTGCTCAGACTATAAAGTTCGTGGTAACATAATAAACAGCTTTATATATAGAACACCTAGTTAAACAACTTCTATTAAACAATATTGTTGGTCTGACTGAAAAAAAAATAAAAAATAAGGTATGTGTCTAATTTAAAATAAAAGCCCTCACTGTAAAAATACACACACACATTTATATATATATATATATATATAAATGTGTGTGTGTATTTTTACAGTGAGGGCTTTTATTTTGTATCTTATTAATTATTTCACTTGTGACCACTCTCCACACTATGTTTGTCCTCTCACATCCAGAAAAGTATAATAGTTAATAAATAATCGTACAATACTAGAATACAAAAGTCCCTTTTATACTATCAGCCCAAAGTGAAGCCAAATGCAAAATGAATTAAGCATTTATTTGAAGCATGGAGTGAATCTGTTGTAATATGGCCTTGTTTAAAACTGTGTGGTTGTTTAAAACTGTGTGGTTGTTTAAAACTGTGTGGTTGTTTAAAACTGTGTGGTTGTTTAAAACTGTGTGGTTGTTTAAAACTATGTGGTGGTTTAAAACTGTGTGGTGGTTTAAAACTGTGTAGTTGTTTAAAACTGTGTGGTTGTTAAAAACTATGTGGTGGTTTAAAACTGTGTGGTGGTTTAAAACTGTGTGGTGGTTTAAAACTGTGTGGTTGGTTTAAAACTGTGTGGTTGTTTAAAACTGTGTGGTTGTTTAAAACTGTGTGGTTGTGTGTACTGGTGGTTGTTCTCCAGAGAAGCTGTGCCCCAGCTGTAGCTCTGCCCTGGAGCTGATGCCATGCAGAGGACACAGTGGCTACCCCGTCACCAACTTCTGGAGAATAGATGGAAAAGTCATATTCTTCCAGGTTTGTGGGCTCATATTCTCAATTGAGATTCCGGTAACACTTTATTTAAAGGTTTTCCTTCCTTTTAAACCATTAATAACCTATTTGTTGATCATCATGTATAAAGCATTTATTACCTATAAAGACCATGTACAATATATTTTTTTGTACTTACTTCATGTGATGGTTAATATACTATAGATGTTTAGCGGTTTTTAAGCAAATCTGCAAGTAAAGTGTTAAGGTTTTAGTATTGCAATTTTTTGACAATGAATTAGCAATTAGCATGGGTTCATAGATTTGATATTTGATCAATAAAATCTGAAGGCAAATAATTTTAATTCATGATAAAAACAATACAAAATCCAAGTGCGTGACCAAAGGTTTTCTAAATTATTTCAAGAAAGTAACAATCGTAGTATGTGTTGATGTGATTGCAGGCTAAGGGAGTCCATGACCACGCCAGACCAGAGAGTAAGTCTGAGACGGAGGCCCGGAGAAGTGCAGTGAAGAGGAAGATGTCCTCTCCACACTTCTCCCAGAAGAGGAGGCTGGTAGAATCAGATGTAAGAGCATTTACCCTCCATGGTCATATATGCACTCTGAATTATGTCTACCTGGTTCCTCTCAATTGTTTTCCTATAGGAAGATGTTTCTTGCCACTGTTGCCTTTGCTTGCTCGTTGTGGTTGTTTAGACTGGGTGGCTCTCTGATACAATAAGCACTTTGTGACCTGCACCTCGAATACTGTAAAAGCCCTATGCACCTACAAGGAGATTGCCAAGTAAAGAATTCACAAAATACACACATGCCATTTATTCCATTAGATGCAGTGGACTTGACTAGCCTATCACTAATATGTACTGTTGTGTACTATTACTTCTTCAGACTGGGAGATACCATGACCTGGGCGCTCCCTTCCCCAACCTGCACCAGCTGTCCTGCATGGAGGGCCCTGACCGCTTCAGCATCATCCCTGAGTCCAACTTCCCCTTCCAGAACCCTGAGCCCTACAAGACCCAGCACTACCCGCCCTTCCAGAATCCTGAGCCCTACAAGTTTGCCTACGACTCCCACACCACCCTGGGCGAGGCCCCCTCCACGCTCCAGAAGCCGGCCAACCACCGTCTGTACATGCCCCGGCCTCCATGTGGCTACGACTTTGCTGTGCCTGGCTATTTAGGCTCTGGCTCCTACACAGCCCTCTACAAGGACCCCAGTAGCCCCCAGGCAGAGGCCCCTGAGCCCAGCAAGGTGAGCTTGGGCCTGGGTACCAGCACCACCACACCTCACACCACCAGCACCCTTTCGGGTCATGACCGCAGCAGCTACGACACTACCAGCAGCAAGCATCACGGCTGGAAGCAGATCCTGGGCAAGGGGACATACGGGGAGCGATGTGAATACGGGCAGCTCCCTGGCAACGCCAACCACCACTACTACAACAGTGAGTATCCGTGCAGGACCCTGACGGGCCCGGTGCCAGCCACGCCCGCCTCCCTGCAGACCATCATCACCACCACCACCAAGGTGTCCTACCAGCCCTGCCTCAAGCCCTCTGTGGTCAAATATGGCGATAACATCTACGACGTCAAGGGCCTGCCCAACTGCAACTCCCTGCTCGAGGACAGCTCGCCCACCTCCTACTCCGATCTAAAGATTCCAGAAGATTCCGGGGTCATCAAGTCGGCGCTGTCGTACCAACCGGAAACCCTGCCAGCCAAAATCGAGAGGGCAGAGAACTTTGACACTTACCGATACAGCAACTACGCGTCCAACAGCTATCCCGACAGGGTTTCTCATCCGCTTAGATATGACGGAGTAGGGTACTAAAAGCTCACCAACAGAACGAATAAGAGGGAGATATGACGGAGGAGTACGTTTGATAGTTGTGCCCTGTATACAAATGATCAGAATGAACACTTGGAGCAGACTTATTGACACCTTTTATCAGGTTTGTGAATATCTATTGTTATTTATATATTTGAGGTGTTGGAATGCATTTGGACTGCTAGTGATGACAGTCATCTAGGATGTTCACAACATTTCCCAATTTGCATTTAATGCATAAGGAAAAGCCACAATGCAGTTATTATGTAAATGTAAATATTATGCAGGTTGACCTTTATTGTCATGAGACTTGCCCTGGAGGCAGAACTGAGCGGTTTCTGCTAGATGGGCCAGCTGCAAAGTCAAAATTGGCAATATCTTAAACATTTATGAAAACAACAAATTTGCTTTTTGGTCTTAAAGGGATACTTCGGGATTTTGGCAATGAGGCCATGTATCTACTTCCCCAGAGTCAGATGAACTTGTGGATACCATTTTTATGTCTCTGTGTCCAGTATGAAGGAAGTTAGAGGTAGTTTCGTGAGCTAAGGCTAAATAGCGTTAGCGCAATGACTGGAAGTCTATGGGTATCTGCTAGCATGCTAGGCTCTAGGGTTAGCAGTGTGGTTGGGTTAAGGTTAGGTTTAAAATCAGATTTTATGACTTTGTGGCTGTGTCAGCTAGTGACCACTCTGCAGAGCTGCCTCCTGTACACGAGTCATCCCAATAAATGCCAACCTGCAGTTATTATGAAGTCCCCTGTAGCTCAGTTGGTAGAGCACGGCGCTTGCAACGCCAGGGTTGTGGGTTCGTTTCCCACAGGGGGCCAGTATGAAAAATGTATGCACTCACTAACTGTAAGTCGCCCTGGATAAGAGTGTCTGCTAAAATGTAAAACAAAATATTGCCTTTGGATAAATAAATAAAAATCTGATTTTTTTTTTTTTATAGAATATGAATATGTATTCTTAAGGTATTTTGTCTGTGTTACAATATCACGTTATATTCCGATGGCACTGGAATAAATGTTCTATAGACTGGGACGGGCTACAAAAGCATAATGAATGTGCTCTTGGTACCAGTGCAACTGTAAGTGCAGTCTTGTGGGTGCAGGGTTGTGGGTTCGTTTCCCACCGGGGGCCAGTATGAAAAATGTATGCACTCACTAACTGTAAGTCGCTCTGGATAAGAGCGTCTGCTAAATTACTAAAATGTAAAATGTCTTGAACTGTACAGTCTCTGAACATAATTATGTGACATTAAAATTCAATGAGCTCCCACCATAGATTTGACACATTCTGATTTTGTGGTTATGGCCTTTGTTTTGTTCCAATTATCATTAACCTCCAGCCCTTTGAAAGACCTTGCAATTTAAACAAAGTCGGCTGCTTTAAAACACTGGGGGGACGAGGACAATAAGACAAAACACGTAGGCTACTTGCCACCCCACAAATACAGTACACACTTACTCATTCAGAAAAGGATGTACTCGTGTCAAAAGGGATGAAGTTGGGTAATTCATCGTCAGGTTTGCTATCCGGACGCGTTTAACCTTGTGGTTCAGAGGCGCCCTGACAAGTATTTCCCTCCATTTTAGGGTAGGGACGAGAGAGAGAGCGATATGTCTTTGTCCTTCCATTCGAGAATGCCGGTAACACAGATCGCTGACAGTATCTCTCCTCGCGGCCGGTTCAGCAGGGAAGCGGCGCCGCTTCATTTCGCTGACTCCGCCGGGGAGTTTTCCCGTCTCGATAAACAAATGACTCACTATTATTGTAATGACAGAGGTGGTGTGAGCCATGAATCAGTTTGTCCATATGTGGAGGAGTAGGTAACACCAGGGATGTGATCCTTTTTAGCGTAACTGTGTGCTGACTGGAGACATAACTGTACCCCTGTCAGACAGACAGATCACAGACTGATAACGCTCTGTCTCAATATTTCGGAAAGCTAAGGCTGTGACGATTATGGAATTTTGGGTAACGATTAATTATCACACAAATCGCCATGGTTCTTGACATAATTGTCATTTTTGTTGAAAAATGTTTTGAGCTTGTAATGCATCATAATGCATCTTTTACAATTTTCTACGACATACCTAATGAATACAACACAGCTTTGGTGACTCCCCTGTCTCAAAAACAACTCGTTTTAACCGATTGGAACTTTTGGAAACTAAGCTTCTCATCCTGACCGTGCCGGTTTGCTCGCAAAATGGGTTTACCCACTTCATGTAAAAATGAAAAACTGCTATTGGGTAAACTATATCTACTTGAATATGACGATTATTATTTTTAGTTCACATTTATTGTACACAATTTTCAGTTACAGGATTATACAGTAATTGTGCCAGCCCTACAGAAAGTTATTACCTTGTATTGGCTTACTTTTACAGAGACATAGCTTCTTCTGGATAGTTGAGCTGGATGTGTAGGCCTACACCTAAAATGCAGCGTTTTGACAGCAAAACACATTTCATATACAACATGTTTGTAAAAACGTTGAAATGTAAGGTAGAGCTCATGAGACTACATAGGCAGTATAGGTATAGTGACAATTAGCCTACATATTATCTTTAAAATTATAGACGTGGCTGATGATAGTATGTTAGAATCATAGATTATATTACAGTGCATGGTAGGCTATAATGCTTTATACAACGGGTGGGTCTAATCCTGAATGCTGATTGGTTAAAACAGTATTCCAGCTGGTGTCTATTCCACAAGTTACCACCGGCTAAATCTATGACGTTACAATGCCTATTTACTCTGTTCCATCTGACGGCGCAATCCACTGTCTCATCAGCCCAGCCAGGCAATTCATAAACTTGATCTCCACTATAGAATGCATCTAGACATTATCTCCCATTTCTTTTAGACTAACATTTAGTTTTCAACAGCGGAGATTTGAGTGATTCATCAAACCTAACTTGTTTAACTGAAAGGATCTCATTTACAATACCATTCCCCTCTGTATGGCATGGGTCATGGCTTTATTCTACAGTCCTGTTTGAGCTTGTAACTTTCTAGATCTAATCAAAGACTGAACTAAATTGGTAACCAAATTGTAGACCTACATAGTGGTGCTTGTTTCAGTGAGTGGTAGCACTATTTCAAAGTCCAGTTTCAGCTGGTTTCTATAGGTTAAACCTGGGAAGTATGAATTATTTATTTGAAGCATTGACTCAACTCACATTCACACTGGATGGAAAACAAGTAAAATCAATTTAGCTGCTGTTTAAACCTCACCATATAATCATCATCGTATCAAAATAACTTTCAACACTATCAATGGTTTATATTGTAGTAAATGTACAACAAATTGTAGTACAAAAAAAAAGGGTTACGAAAGGGTTCTTAGGCTGTCCCCATTGGAGAACCCTTTTTGGTTCGAGGTAGAACCCTTTTGCGTTCCAGGTAGAACCCCTTTGGGTTCCATGTAGGACCCTCTGTGGAAAGGGTTCTACATGGAACCCAAAAGGATTCTACCTGGAACCAAAAAGGGTTCTTCAAAGGGTTCTGCTATGGGGACAGTGTAATAACCCTTTTAGATTCTAGATTGCACCTTTTTTTCTAAGATTGTAGAGGTGGTGGTAGCTAATAATAATACAATTACCCTCATTAGTGAACATTCCAGAACAAGTGGATTCCAACCCACATAATACACACCTGCATGTCACTTTTACTCTTCACCCAAACATGGCAAACTTTGACCTCTAGGCCTCTCTGACCCCCCTTGACCATTGGCCCTTCTCTGCCATGAAACCTGTCTTGATTTCCACTCAGGGGTTGACTAAACCTGTATCCTCCCCTCTGAAGGTACAATACCACACAACTACTCCCAGGGCAGTAGCACTGGCTGTCTGATAGGTGCCTGATTCATGTTAGTGAATCTGCAGCCACCCCTATATTCCTCCCCCAGCCCTCATCCCACACCACCATACTTCAAGAGGATATGTTTACAAACAGTGGGGTAGAGATACACCATGTTTAAAACCAGGTGCCCGGTTATCTCTGCAATAATATAGCTTCAAAGAGATCCAAAAGGGGCTCAGAAGTTGGTCTGTGCCTTAGACTGTTGGACACATCATGGGACCTTGGCATTGCCAACAACGAGTAGGGTGCACAGTACAAAATACGCGGCTGTATTTTCTGAAGTCCATATTCTGAAAACAAATGGAACTTCAAAAGCACCAAACATAAGCTTCCTGCATTGTCATGTCCCTTTTTTTTCCATTCTTTTTTTTTAACCATTGCACACTTCTTTGCAATCTGCAAAACAAAGAATGGGGCTTTGACTATTTTATTCTCCCAAAAAAGCATTCCTGTGAAGATTAAAAATGGAAGGTCCCAGGTGGTGGGCCCACTGAACCAGTCTTCTAACAGCCTGAGTGATGGCCTTTCAGACTCCTCAACAGACCCTCTACTACTTTGACATTAGCTGCTGAGCGGTGGTGGTAGCGGTATACAGCCCAGGCTGGCTGCACGGCTCTGGCTCTGTAGGCCTCTATCTCTCTACAGGTCACTCTGGCTGATAATGCAGGGCCTCAGCTGCTCCTAGCCAGAAAGAGAGGTCATTTACACAGCCCTTTTTCTCTGTGTCCGAGTGTATCATTCAAACACACACACACACACACGCACGCACGCACGCACGCACGCACGCACGCACGCACGCACGCACGCACGCACGCACGCACACACACACACACACACACACACACACACACACACACACACACACACACACACACACACACAAACATACAAGGCCTTTCATCCTTTCTGATCCCTCTGAGTGAAAACTAACATTGATGTGGGACTTCTGTACATTTTGTTTTTTTGAAAAGAGCTGCATCAATAACTTCCACTGAGCAGATTCATCACACCAACCAGACCTCCAGTCTGATCCAATGGAATTGATCAGTGTACCAATAATAATTCAGTTTTGAGAGTTTAGTCTCTCACCGTTTTTTAAATTATCTTCTCCAAACAACGACACTCAAC